GTGAGACAGAGAGGCAAAACAGGGGCAAACTGTGCTGGGCAAGAGTGGAGATGTCCTAACAATCTTTAAGATTTGAAAGGAGTCTCTTCTTCCATGCTTAATAACGTTGGGGACATGTTCAAAGGCCCAAGAAACCTATCCCATCTCTCTCTCCATAACAGGAGTGCTCTTCCCCTACTCCACAGTGAGGATGTCTCTCACCTGGGCAGTTCAGAGGGTTTGATTAATTTGTGGTTGCACAGATGTGATGGTAAAAGCCATATAGTGCTCCTTGCAAATGAAAGGAAAACTGTCAACCTGTGACCTCCCAAGGAGAACTCAATTGCCACGTTCAGGGCCCATGAGCTCCTCCTCAGGGGAGAGAAAATGTCCCTGAAATCTAATTAATTAACATTCAAAAATTTAAGGATTTTGTAAGTATGAACTTCAGAGAGGAGGAGGGTAAGAGGCAGATGTTTATGAACCCTGGCTCCTTATTTGGCTCTAGTCAGAGTAATAAATGATGATATTCCACTCTTCTTGACTGACTGTCCCATCTGAGTTTTATAGGACCAGAGAGAGTTTCTTGTTCTTGCACAGCCTATACTAATATTTTTGCATGTTTCTTATTACATAGTTGATACATTCTGCCATGGGGTAGATCCATGTCATCAGGAGGCAATGAGAGACAGAAATATGTACAAACACACATTTGCCTTCAAAGACAATGTAGGCCTCTAGTCAAGAGCTGTGCAAAGCAAGTGAGCATCCTCATGCACATCATTACCACTAACCTTGTAACTACAGCAGGGTTTGGTTTGAGACTTGGACCCCTTAGGGCTTGATGTTCCCAGAGAGACTCTTTTCCTTGGTCTTGGTTTAGCAGTTTAAGTCCCTTTGGTTTTGTGATATGGTCTTCTAGCAGACAAACCTACTAACTCAGGCGCTCCAGGGCACCACAAACAGTACTGCTGAGTTTGCTTCTTATCCCTGCCCCCTGCTCCCCACTTTGTGTGTATGTGTGTCTGTGTGTCTGTGTGTGTGTTTTATACCTGTATACTTGTAGGTGTGTCCACATGGAGGCCAGAGGTTGACACTGTGTGTTTTCCTCAATCGCTCTCCACCTTATTTTTTTTGAGACAGGAACTCTTACTGAATCTGAAGCTCTCTGATTCAGCAAGACTAGCTGGCCAGCAAGCTCCAGGGATCCTCCTGTGTCCACCTCCCCAGTGCTTGGCTTACAGGTGCCTGCTACTATGCCTGGCTTTTTATGTCGGCTCTGGGGGTCCAAACTCAGGCTTTCATGCTTGTGCAGCAAGCACTTCATGAGACATCTTTCCAACTTCTGTTGTTCCCTTTATTCGGTGGGGACAAGCATCAGGACTTGACTCTGAAGCTCCAAGTCTTTGTACAAGTTAGAGACAGTGATCGGTAGAGATGAGGAGGGTTCCTATGAGGAGCACTTGCGTTTCTAGAGTTGATTCTATTCTTGGTATTATCTTGGTCTTGACCGTGCCTCTTTATGCACTTCTTATCTATCTCTCAGATAACCTTTGAAGCATAGAATGAATGATGGAGGTCTGCGATGATAATGACTCTGCCTGGTTCCTCTTCAAGAATGTGCACTGCATCTGGGTAAAGGATCTTCATAGTTATTCTTTTAAACTTCTTATGATCAGGTTTACTCCATGGATCTAAGACTCTTGCAGTAAAAAGCCTTATCTTCAAATCTGATTTTCACCTAAAAAAATCAGGAAATCTATACCGTATCCTATCTGTGTGTCTCTCTCTACATATTTAGGATCTTTGTATCTGTCTGTCTGTCTGTCTGTCTTGATATCAGCACTATCTTGTTGAAGTTGACTGTAGGGCAAACGATCTCATCCTCTAGAGGAATTTCTCTGTAGATGCATGCCTAAGAATCCTTTTTCCTTCCTTCCTTTCTATCTTCTCTCTCTCTCTCTCTCTCTCTCTCTCTCTCTCTCTCTCTCTCTCTCTCTCTCTCTCTCTCTCTCTCTCTCTCTCTCTCTCTCTCTCTCTCTCTCTCTCTCTCTCTCTCTCTCTCTCTCTCTCTCTCTCTCTCTCTCTCTCTAGGACAGTCAGCTCAGTCCCAAGAAAAGAATCAATACTTAATAAAGACCACTAATTACAGATGCATTGTTAAGTACCTCACATATAAGATGACGTGTGTGTGTGTGTGTGTGTGTGTGTGTGTGTGTGTGTGTTAACATCTTTCTGTCTCCTCCTACTCTTACCAATGCTGAGTCATTACTCTTCTCAGGAGTGTCTATCCGGATGATCAGAATAAGAGTGGGAAAAGAATGCCTCATGTTGAAATTAAAGGGTTTAACTAAAGGTGGTTGAGCCTGGGCCAGGGAGCCACATCATTTTAGGTATTTGCATTTGAAATTCATACCTCAGAAGCCTCTTGCCGTTTACCACCGCTGCTGTCTCAGGTTAATGTCAGGCAAAACTGTAAAGAAGGCTAAAGTTGCTTTCCTTAGAGCCCTACTTCCCACCTCCTCCCTCCCCCTGCAAACATATTGTGGTAGGTGAAGTTGGAGCAACTTGGGCTGTTTCTGATTCATCTTTCCAGCAAAACTCCAGCAGGTTGTTCCCTGGGGCCTTGCTCTCAGATCTGGAGCTGATAAACTAATTGGGGCTAATGTGATAATGGGCAATGATGACATTTACTGTTTTTATCAGGCCCAGGGCATACACTTACATGTTAACAGGGACTTTGGCAGGTAGACAAAGTTGAATGGGAAGCAAAGTGGGTATGTTCGTTGGAGATTAGAGGAGAGGGCTTGTAGAGCTTCCCTAAACTGTATTATCTTAAACCTTCAAGACCGTCTTTAAAGGCCTGCCTTCATCCAAGACCCTTCAGAGCCCACCTTTGCCCTCTCACTGTGTCTTCTGTGCTTGAAAAGCTCTCTGTATTCATATTTCATAAACAAAGAAAACAAGCACAAGACCACGACTGCTCCTTATCTTTCTGTCTTAGCAGTACAATAGCCACTGTGTCCTGTTCCATTCACCAGCCTTTGCTTATAGAGGATCTTTTTCATGCAAGGAATTTTTTGGTTGTGATCACAAAATTTTTATCTCTCTGCCAAAACTCAACTTCCTTTCCCTCTTCCACAAAGGGGAGGCCCTGTGAGTTCAAGTAACATGCTTGGACGATTGGTTTAGGGCAGACCAGTGTCCAGGAAGACCCAAGGAAAAAGTTAATGGTTAGGAGATGGTATTTTTCCTGGTCTGGGCAGTTTCTCACCTATGCAGGTAGAGGAACATTTGGGGCCCAGTGAAGCAGGAATAGGAAACTCCCTGTATGCCGTTAGCCCAGGAGGATGGGGGGAGGGAGGATCTGTGGAATTCATAGGAACCACCCCCAACATATCACTTCTTGCTAAAACTCTGTTAGTGTTTTGGACAATCCTACAGGGAGGATTGATGAACAATAGAAAAGATTATAGCAGTGTTGAGAAGAAGTGAGGAGCCTAGATAATCTGACCAACCAGCACTTGCCTTGCCCATGTTGACAGCTGTACCTGGGCATCTCGTAGTGCCCCCTTCCTCCCAGTATCGCCCCCTTCAAGACTTTTCCCGACATTCTTACCTGGAGCTGGGGGGAAAGAGCCTGTTCAAAGTCCTCCGAAATTGCTAAGAGTCACTGCAAAGAGTAAGTCATGATGCCCCCAGAGAGAGAACGAACGGGCTAGGAGCTCCTTCCAATCCTGACACCTGCACAGCCAGGGCAACGATCTTGATGTCAAAGCAGAGGACCCAATACAGGTTAGAAATGAAATCAGATGTTCAAGAGGACCTCCACACCCCCTTCCTCTGTCTCTGCCTGATTTGGACTTGTGCTACTTCACTTTTACATTCCCCTTTCCTGAGCCTGTCTTCAGGAAGTGTGGTGCTTTTCACCTGAAACTGCCTCTAAGCTGAAAAGAACAGTCACCACCAAATCAATTCCTCATCCATTAACAGGTTGTCTCTGTTCTTGAGACAGGCATAACCTGGTTAGACCTGTTTTGTTTGAACACTAACGTGTGAGTTGGCCAAATGCAAATGAGCCAATGTTTGTAATCCTTTATTTTATTTTTTTAAAGGGCTGGGCAGCCAATCAGATGAGGGGGAAGTGACTTAGGGAATTCCCGGTTGGTGGCTTATTGCTTAACATCCTACAAAATGATTTTAAATTATTGTCATATGCATTTATCTTCACTCTGATGAGAACTCAGACGTGATAAGGCCCGTGGCTCCCTATCCCTGTAGGAGCTGGCGTGGTAGCTACCTGCTGTCTCCTCCATTGCCAGAGCTATAGGATTTCCCACCCAGAATCTTGAGGTAAATGAGGTAAGTCTTTGCTTTTAAATCTTTGTTTTAATCTGGCACTCAAACACCTTCGTGGAAAGAGAAGCCTGTCTTGAATCAGACAGGTGAAAATAAAACAGTCTCCCCAGGCAGCTGGCAGGAAGTAAAGCTTGCTTTACCTGGGCTTTCCTACTGGGTCGTGTTAGAATTTATTTTGGTGAGGGCAGCTGGACTCCTTTGGCTGTTATCTGTGCATTTTCTGCGTTGTCTGGACTTCGAATCACCAAGACTTTGAAAGTTCCCTGATTTCACTCTATTCATGTGGTGTGGCAAAGCGATGTCCTTGGATTGGATTTCTCTAAACCAGAGGCAGACAGGGACAGATGACTCTGGTGTCACCGTGAAGAGCTGGTTGACTAAGCTGGTGGGGTCCAGAGTGCATGGTCTCACTTTCTAGAGGTGTTCTTTGCTCATAATTTTTCTGACTCAGGATATTCTGGTGTTGGAAATGGCTTTAAATAGACAAGAGAGTCCACATTCACATGGGAACTGGGTCAGGTGGCCAAGGTAGGTAGGAGACACCTGGGGAGAACTGAACCCTTAAAAATGATTCCATTCAAAGAAAATGCAACTTAGGTAGACGATTTTACCATATCACAAGGCGACAAACCAACTCTTTGTTTTTCCATAATGGGATTCTCTGACCAGACAGGTAGACATGACTCATCAGCAACAAATGACTTCGATATAGGGACTCTTTTGATTTTGTTTGTATACCACTAAGAGGTGTGGGTTCCAGTGTGGACAGAACTAAAAACAGTGGGAAATTATCCTTATTGGTCCACAAAAGCACCAAGGTGGGAAAGTGACATTTTCAACGTCTAGGATTCTTTGCACACTGAGTGCTATTAATAATGCATTTTTAAGATGAGGTTTAAGGTTCTGTGAGTCTGAGTCCTCAAGTATTTCTGCAGCTTCTCTGTACTGACCTCAGGGAGAAAGTGAGAGTTTAGAGGCTGAGATTTCTGAAGGAAGCACTAGTTCAGGCTTTGGCTCAGGGGGCTTAGGTATGCGGATCCATCAGTGTCTTTTGAAGTTGAAGAGGGAAGGTGGGGATTGTGAATGACTGTGTGGTACTTCCACTGGGGTCCAGAGAAGAGTCAGTTTCCAGAAGCAGAGACAAAGACATATCAGAAAAGGATTGAGAGATTTTAGGAATGACTACAATAGCTACCTTTGCAGTTGCAGAAAGCTACACTTGTCCTTTATGTGTGGCCTAAAATTCTCAGACTATATAAGACTATGAGTAAGTCATTAATTCTGTCTAAGACTATAGAGTCTTTTCCATACCAGTGGTGAATGGTGTTTAGATAACATGATGGAAAATAAAACGAAAGCCATTTAGACGTCTGTATCCACATTTTAAAATACCAGATAGCATGGGTTCCATTCCCCATCTTTCCAGACTGTTTGGCAGAGACATTCTAAAATAAAGCAAACCGAGGAAACAGCTATGCTTAAAATTATATCACCATTCCAGATGTCCTTAGCCAGCTCTTCAGGATGGCTGTGGATACGTCAGTGCTTGACCTAGGCCTTATTTATTCAAAAGGTCTCAAAAATTACATTTTCATTGTGATAAAGAATTTATTACCTATTCTTTAAATTCACATAAGCTTTCTGATTTGTTTTTTTGCTTATTGTACTATTGCACCATGATTTCTCATGGAAGTATCTTGGGTCTTTCCAGACTTTGGACAGGCCCTACAGTCACACTCATGATTTCATGTCTGTAGGCATTCAAAAGGTCTCTCATTCATTGGCCAGGTTTACCCGGATCCTCTTTCAATATCTTTTTGGCTCTCAATGAGGGCCTTAGGCAAGATGGAAACTGAGAGGTTCCAAATGTTTACTTAGTGACACTCAGTTAGCTAGTAGGAAGCTGAGAGGGTCTCATCAGGTCAGAAGGTGAATGCTTTGGGCCCATATTCTGTTCTAAGGAAGTGGAATTTAGCTTTCTGGAATTGTCTAAGTTTTATTTCCTTCTTATCTCCCTCCTCCTAACCCTTTTCAACTTTGGGGATTTGAGGACTAGGTGGTGACTGGACTTCCTTGCATTTCTGACCTAAGTTTAAGAACCCTTTCATGTTATAACCTCACATACAGTTGTAGAGGCTCACATAAGAGCTCACCCAGTCTTCTCTTCCTCCAGATGGAGGTGTCCCTCTGTCCTTTCAAACACTTGTAACTTTCAAAGTAACTCCTCTGGGAGTTGGGGTGGAGGAGGGTGCCAAGAATATTATAGCTGAACCTGACAATACATTGGAAAAGCAACATCATAGTATTAAAGAACCAAATATGAACTCTAAACCTGAATTTCAGAGATACCACTTTGCTGACATTGCAGTCCGTTTCTTTTGTTAAACTGGCTCTTCTCTTCCACAGAGCTAAGGCAGCAGACTTTTCTGTTGTGAGTGGGGCCCTGGTTGAGAGGCATTAACATGGTGTTTAAAGACCACACACTCTCATTGTGTGGTTACCCTCACTGTGTAACTGAAACAGTGGGTTTCAGCTGGAGTAAGCCACATCTGTAGGGGGTATCCCTCAGAACATGAGGCAGGAGGCTTCCACATTTTCCTACCCTTCTTAAATCAGTTCTCAACATCAGAAGGGAGAGGGAGGATCATTCACTTTGACATTTTCATATCTCACTGTTTATAAAATTATCTAAAGTGGTATGATTTGTTCTAAAGAGCAAGCAACTGTGATCAAATTTGTGGTGTCTATTTACACTGGAAAGATTTTTAAAGGGCCAGACTGTCAAGATGTTCAGGAAATCTGTGATACCACAGGGAGAGAATAGTCCATGACAGCATATCCATATTTTCTAGTCAAATGGCATTATGGTATGGAAGCCAAGATGGGTTAGAGTAGAAATTTCCATCAATCATTCAGTTACTGGATAAAAACTTCGTTGCCTTTCAGAGGGGAACAAAGATATTTCTTTAAGGATCTTTCCAGAAGAAGACCTGACTCTGTCTTTGGAGTGATCAGAGCACAGTATGCAACACTGCTCAGTATGGCAATCAGGAGACCTGGCAAGGTTGTATGGTCCAGAGCAGCACACTACCCATCTCTGGGTTTTAGTTTCCTCTTTTATATATCCTGATTACCTTTAAGATATAGTTCAATCCCAGATTCTGCTGACTTTAGTGACCAAGAGTGAAGGGAACAGTTATTCAGGAGTGGGGAGAGGTCCAGAACAGAAAAAGGCATGACAGAGGCTCCCTGAGGATGAGACAGAAAGGGAGATCAGCAGGAGCCCTTAAGTGACTCCTTCAAGGTCTTCAGACTTTTGACTAAGAGTAGATCTAGCAAAAGACCGAGACGCAGCACCAGCCTTTGCTCGCATGTGGTAGCCCGTTTTTATCCCTGAGCTCAAAGGTGGTAAGAGGGCAGAAGTGCGCTGATGAAAAGGAACGGGTATTTGCATGAGCTGCCCTTGAATGGTATCTTCCAGAAACACCAGAGCTGCCTCTGGAGAGGCGTAAAGTGAGCGTCCAGCATGCTGGCATCCACGTAATCTGGGCTGCATTGATTGTCTATGGACGACTGGGCAGATGAGAAAGATGTGGACCCTGTGCTGGAGGGAGACTACAGCAATCACATGGGTAGCAAGACTGGCCCCACCAACCTGGAGCCCCTACTGTTCCCTGAGGGCCTCAGCTCTGTATCTGGAGCAAACAGAACTTGCAACAGGGTTAAGGTGTCCCATTTAAAGAAGCTCCTAGGGTATTAATTGACTTGATTTTAAAAGAGACATCCTGTAAAACGATCCTTTGAAAATGATTTCACTAATACCTAACCCCTTCTTGTTTTCAGTTTGTTTTATGGGGCTGGGCCTCTTATCATCTGGTCATTGGACTCACATTCTCTCTCTCTTACCCCTCACCCTGGCCTTCAGAGTCTCCATTGCTTATTTCTCAGAAGCATGGTTATCATTGTGAAGGGCTTTTGACTATTGAAATTGTGACCTGACTGAGTGAATCCAAAACATGCTTTCTGACGAAACACAGCCTAAAGTAAAAAGGAGACAAAAATCCAAGCAGATAATAGTTTACCTATTAAAAGAACAGACCATCCTATTAACCAAGCTATTTTACTATGAAAACTTACGTTTCTTTTGCATAACCTTTTCTAGATGCATATGCTCTTTGGTGGTGTAACCGTGGTGAAGTTAAGATGTCTTATTCTCTACTTCTTCCTCACTTTGTATCAGACTTAGGATAAGTAGTCTTTGAGACCCAGTTGTGAATCTGAGAAATTTGTCACTCCATTTCACTGTGATGAGCCTCTCACAATAGAAAGAGATTCTTGTTTTTCTTGTGTGTGTCAGTAGAGTCTGGTGAATGTGGCCATCTTGCAGAGATAATTCCAGAATTCTTCTTAGGCTCCTTTAGCAAGCTTCCCTCAGTTGGGTTGATGTTGGGTTGATTCTAGAGGAAAAGATGAGTGGATTTTGGACAGAGAGTGCAATCAACAGTCTGTTTCCCAAGTGACTGCTGACCAGACTTGTTTTGTCTTTGTGTGGGCTATAGACTAAGTCTGAAATTCAGCCTATGGCCAGCTTTGTTCTGTTAGGAAAATCGAAGAGCAACTAGTCTCTGTTCTGCCATCCTCCCCCCACTAGCCAGAGCTTGTGTACAGAAGAGCGAGGATGAAGAGTAGGCTTGGACTGCTGTGCATCTGAAGGGCAGGAAGCATTGAGTTTTTGTGGCTTGGGAACCTCGGGATGTGGTAAGACTGAACACTGAATATGAAATTGGAATGCCTACGTTTAATTTGGACATTGCACTGGGTGAATTCTGTAAACACTAGCATCCAAGTCTTTTCATCTGGAAAATGGGGTTAATAACATCTACTGTGAAGGGCTATTATGAGGATTAAATTAAGCAAAGAATGTGAAAACACCCAGACAATGCTTGTGATAAATAGTAATTTATAGGCTGGAAGTCAGAGAGAAATATTCAATTTGGGCATTT